GAATAACAGGAGGCATAATCAAATTAATTTGGTGCTTTAGAAACAAGATGAGCAGTTTGAACAATTTGATCTAATGTCATTTAACAACAAGCAACAAAGGATAGAGGACTGAAACATTTGTTACTCTGGACATAAAATGAAATAACAGACCAAGTGTACACTAAGTAAAGGAATACAGTTCCTTTACACATTTTTAAACAGATGTTCCTGGAGAAGATTGGCCACTCTGATTCAGCATACAGTGAAACAATGATACTGTTTATAATGGATTAGATATTCCACTTTTTCATATTTTAATATTTCATACTGACAGTTTGCATGAGCAAACTTCTGACAAATATTAGTATTATGAATATCACAATAGAAATAAAAAGATTTTTTTAAATTCTTGAATGGAAGTATTAATAGTTGCTGTAGTTTGCTGTAAGGAGGAAATATTGTTTTTACCCATCTGGAAAAAGGTTGTGGTATCTGTTTATATAAATTATTTAAATGAAATATTAATTTTGATACAACTATAATAACATTAAGATCAGATTTAATGAATTAATCTTTTTCAAACTTCAAGTTGCAAGCTTTACTGGATAAGACTTTTGACCAAATAAAAGAGACTCCTCTGTGTGTGTGTGTGTGTGTGTGTGTTTTCCATTCACTCATCTGAAACTAAGTAATGCTAACTGATCAAAGTTAAGAGTGATGAACTTCAAAGGGAAATGTTTTTATTTATTTACTTATTTAATTTCTTCAAAATATTTAATACTTTCTGTTTGTTTTTTTCTGTTTCTCTTTAATTGTATAAGTGAATTCTGTAGTTAATAATCTTGTATTATATTGGTTAGACCCTCCTCCCAGGGCTTTAAAATGCTTGTTTTTACTTTGATAGAAGTTAATGAAACTTATATTAAGTTCAAACTTAATTATGTGCTCACTATTGCTTGGCAATAAACATATTACCTTGAATCATGTACTCGGAATTCATGTGAACTATTATAATGTTAAGTTCCTCAAAATCCAACCCCTCGGCTTACTTTGAAAGATGTTTTAGTAATTCTATCTTGACCTGGAAGAAGTCTAGAACCTTGTTTAGCAAATTTGCTAGAGATGGTGTCTCAATAAAAATGCCCAACATCTTGTGCTGTGAACAGGTTAATAGGAGTAAAGGTAAATGTGTACACTTTTCACATTTATTTAAGAATAGTAGTAGTTTATTCCTTGATTTGGTTGAGGTTTTCTGGTTCCTTTTTTCCATGATCTTAATGATTTTAACTGTCTTAACATTTTGGTGATCTAACTGATCAGTGGCTGCAACTTTTCATTTTGAGGGTACTGAGTTGGTAGTTTTCTGGTTGCTGCATTCCAACTGGTAGCAAAGTGTCCAAACTTTTTGGTAGCTCTTAGAGAGGCTGCTCTAGTTAACAATTGCATAATATCAAGATATTTGTAGTACCATGTTGCACAAAGGTGTTCCTGCATGTACTTCCAGTGAGCAACCCTGAGGCTATGTTATGCTTCAGTCTTGGCCACCTGGCTGGTTTGTATTGCCTTAGATGATGAACAGTGATAATTATTTTAGCCTTTTCTCCTTAAAAATTGAAATAATCTCATGACAGTTACAATTAAAAGAAAGAAAAGTAAACTAGTAAGCAAAAAATCACTTAAGTTCTTCAACCTTTCTTTCTCCAATATTTGTGTTATTTGTACCAATTTCTCTAGTGTAGAATCTTTTCTCTTAAAACATTCTCCAGATAGCTTAGCATTCTGTGAAACTAATTTTAACTGTTCTATCTGTATCAGTGAATTTTCTCTTCCAGGCTCTCTTCGTCTTTGTTGAAAAGATTCTAGGATACATAGGCTTGGCCTTGGTGTTTGTATCCGGAAAAATCTTCCAATGGCAAGTGCAATCGTCTCTTGAGTTCCTGGATGATTCTTTCATGTACTTTTGACTTCTATTATTATATTCTGTTAGTTATCTCTTTTTCCTTTTGTAGTGAAAGAGATAGTCAGGTACACCGGAAAAAAGTTTGTGTTTTGTGTGCGATCTGCCGAAGAAACATTACCAAAAAGTAGTCAGCAAAAATCTTATAGCGAAGAAAATGGCGAATTACCTCGTCAAACCAAGCGACAGCACGTCGCGTGTATTCTACGACGGAAAAAGTGACGAAAAAGAAACAAGTCCGATACATCAACAAGTGACACTAGCAGTGAGTGCTCAGAAAGTGAACAAATAGTTACCATCGGAGGTAGGGCTAGCACCTCTTCAAATGGCGAAGACTCTGTGCGTGAGGTTGTCAGACCAGAAGAATCCTCAGAAGAAGAATCTTCAGAACATTCTTCAGATGATGAAGACTCTGTGCATGAGGTTGTCAGATCAGAAGAATCCTCAGAACATAACATACAATCTCCTCCAACAGTCGCCCCGCTCCGGAGAAGCTTAAGAATAAAGAGGCCCACCCATGAGTGTCACTTATGTGACAGTGAGGAGTGTAGTGAAAGAGATAGTCAGGTACCCCGAAAAAAGTTTGTGTTTTGTGTGCGATCTGCCGAAGAAACATTACCAAAAAGTAGTCAGCAAAAATCTTATAGTGAAGAAAACGGCGACTTACTTTGTCAAACCAAGCAACAGCGCGTCGCGTGTATTCTACGGCGGAAAAAGTGACGAAAAAGAAACAAGTCCGTCGCAGCAGTCGCTATAACAGTATATCGATATGCAAATTATGGAGCATCCTATCCCAGCTGTCGACAAATGAAAAAAATAGGTTCTGCCAATAAAAGCAGTTGGTGTTCTCGATTCGGAGGCGGAAAATTTGGGCATTTTTGGCTTCTGCGTTTGTTAGAGAGTGAATTATTTTTCTGACTGGTTACATGCATTGTGATTCGAGATAGTACCGGCGAATTGAGTTTTCAGCATTTCTTTCTGCCCCCGATATTCGAGTCTGTGCTTACAGGGATTTTCCTTTGCTTTCAGAACGCTTACACCTAAAGCATCTGACATTATTGAAATGTCTCTCTCTCTCTCCATTCATCTCTGAACATCTTTGTGTTTGGTGATTTTAATGTTTATCATCTCAAGTAGCTAAATCATTCTAATATGACTGATGTTGCCATTATTCGTTAATGATGATTTGTTCCTGTAGAAGATATTAGTATTTTGATTTTCCAAGCCAGACTGTTTTATCTTGTAGAATTAGATCTACACTCTCTGTTTTAAACCTGTGAAAAGAGGATCACAGCTAAGTATTTTCAGTTTGTGCTGAACCCATTAAAATTGACTCCAGAGTTTAGTACAATGCCTTCTGATTGGTCCATAAATAATAATGTCATGTTTCTGCCTATGTCTGCATGATTGACTTCAAGTTGACCTGTTCAGAGTTCAACTGTGACGAAAGACATGACTTACCTCAAAGTTCAAAAGGAGTGCGAACATGTCTTGCCTGCAAAGTAATGAGGAAAAGAAATATGGCTGCTATCAAAGACGCAATTTCTGCGCACCGATCTCGTCCAAAACGAGATGATATTTGCACACATGCAAATTTCAGTCGTATCAGACTGGCATAAAAAGTGAGATGCCAGCAGCACAAGGTGAAGGTCAGGAGTCATTTGTGCAATAGAGTTGGATGTATGAATTGACTGACAGACAAAGAGGAAGTCGAAGTAGGCGCAGCTGAGTTGGTGTCTGCTTCACGACTGCCCAGTATAACGGCCAAGAAAGGGAGCCTCGCAATCCATTTCCTGGAGGCGACCGATGACAAAGGAAGAATAGCTGGTCTGCCGGTGAACGGCGCACTGCACTTTCTGAACCCCTCTCGTCACTTTCTTCTTTTTGTTTACTACAAGCTATTTCGGCGGTTATGGCAAAGGTTCACATAAGCAGCGACGTTATAAAACCATTTTCCGGCCAGGGCAATGTGGTGGCATGGTTGAAAAAGGTTATGCTGGTGGCAAGATTTTAGCAGGTGGACGATGTGGCTAGCCTGCTACCATTGTACCTGGTGGGGGGCGCACTAGCCCTCTACATGGAAATGGAGGAGGAAGCCTTCATCATGGGGTTCCCTGATATGATTTCCCCTGCACTCTGACAGGCACCAAATGTTGAAGCTCTGACTGTAGGGGAGTTATTAGCAAGAGAAAGAGTGCTGACAACAACCAGAGATGAAAGTCAGGATGTAGTTGCGGCTGTGCACCCACCCCGTAGTGACGGCGTGTCTCCCAAGAATGGCTCACTCACCAGTGTGACATGCTTCAGATGCAGCGGCAAAGGCCACATGATCAAGAAAATTTATAACTTTGACATGACTTAGTGAGTCCTTAAAATAATAAACTTGTCACATGAATCCATGAGACCCAACTTCCTCGCTAAAAGTTAATTTTTATTGACATCAATCTGGATTGTGGAATTCAATTTCTTTTCAACATCAACTCATCTAGTGACGAATTCAACCAAGATGAGATTCAGAAACCAACTCTCTCAATATCTTAAAACATAAAAGAAATTATAATTATATCAATTGAAGCGAGACAACTCTACAGTAAGTCAAGCAATCTATTTCATTCAATTTCACTATCAACATAAATTTAATTCCTTACCAGATCTGTAGCATAACACCTTTTATGATCACACAACCAAGAACTCTAAAGTGTTGTAAACAACTTTATTATATTGTGCGTACTTGTTTCTGTTAAAACAAATATCTGCCCATTTGATTATTTCTCTTGTTGTTGTCTCTGTCACATTTGATTTAGTAAAAATAGTAGAGGGTCAGTTTAATTTGTATTTATCACTGATACAGATTGGCTAACACACTACAATCTCCATTAAAAGTTCCAAGAATATGATCTAGTACACAAAAATTTTATGTGTATGAATTTTCTTTTCTTTGTTTTTCTGTATGCTGTTGGAAAATTTCAGCAAGACAAAAATTTGCAAAGAAAAAGGAAAATATAAATTGTTTTAATTAACTGGAGTAAATCATTGACAATTTCTTGTTTGGTTATCTTTGCAGCCATGCAGAAGTATGCCAACATCCATGAAGCTGTTAAATGTGAGGACATCAAAGAGGTGGAAGAAATGGTGAAATGTGGCGCTAACATTAACGAGATAAGCATTAAAAACAAATTCACTCCCCTGCACTCCGCCTGCAATGCTGGAGCCCTTGAGGTAAATGATTTTATTCTTTTATTTTAAATTTCAATAATTTTCCTTGATAACTATCATAAGAATTGATCAGAGCTTATCATGGATATAATCAATTTTCTCCATTAAGAGAATACAGAAAACACAATAGTAGGATTTTTTATATATATAGTTGACTCTCTTGTTGAGTTCTACGTATGAGGGTCAAGCAGATCAGTTCCCAGGAAACCGACAGCCCGACAACAGCACATGAGATTTGATTATAGTGGTGAAGGTTTCGTGCAAGACCAGCCACACTTTTTGAAATATATATATATATATATATGGGATAACAATATATAATATTTTATATATCAAGAACAGTTTTGAAAGAAAAGATATATGACAAATTGGAAAAAGTTGAAACAAACCCAGTCCCATGAAGTCCTAACGGATGATATATATATATCACAAAAACTTTTTAAAATTTGTCATATATGTGTGTGTATGTTATTTTTCATTATGATAAAAGTTCTTTAAAAGTGCAACTTTTGATCCTTTCTCAAAAATATGGCTATTTTTTTACAATAATATTCACCCTGCACAAGGCTCAAGAGCCACTCGATGTAGAAGTTTACACAGTTTATGCAGATATGTGGGAAAGATAACTATTAACCCTAGACTTGAACAGGTTAAGATTGCAATGATTGGGGAAGTATCCTCTTAGGAGTCAGTTTCACAAAACAGTGGTTCCTGGGAAGAAGCTACTCAAGTGGAACTTACATTTCACTAATGGAATGAGGATTGTTCATTACAAAGTGCATGGCATGGTGAGTCTTAGGCGTGAAGTTTAGAACTAGTGAGACTAAAGAATGTAGTTCATCAGAACACTTTCCATAGAAATATAATAGAGCAGCAAGAGGCATGCAAAGTTTTGTCTGTGGGCAAGGGGTTGTAGGGTGTAAAATAATTCTTCACCCACAAGGATGCAGAGACACTTTTGGACTTCACTTTCCAGTCTCAATAGACACTGGAAAGTGAAGACTGGGCAGCTCCTGCCCATATATAGTAGCTGTATTCCATTTTCAGCCTGATTTGGTTCTTATAAAGGTAGAGGATAGCAGGAAGAGCTGGAGTGGTATAGGGAACTAACCATTTTTCCAACATCTTTAGCAATGGATCATATGTGGTAGTTCTGGGTTGAGCTTAAGTCCCAATAGGTGCTCAAGGCACAGGGCATCCCTGAGCGAACACATGTTCATTGCGATGTGTGAAAATTCTGGGTCCGCTTAGTGATGATGAAATGTAACTAATTTGGTTTTCAAGTCATTGAATGTGACCAGCTATTTTTTCCATCACTATGCTGTTAAAGCTAGGTCAGAGCAGAGATCAGCCAGTCATCTAAAGTTTTGGAGGTGCACCCATATACCATTTTATCATCAGTATATTTATTCACAAATGATCAGAGTATACTCTTAGGCAAATCATTTATGTAAAGTAGAAAGCAACTCTTTTTCTACTTTACATAAAAGAAGAAAGCCTTGTGGGGATGCTTGCATTGAGCGTTTGAGCCTCAGAGGACTGGTCATTAACAACTACCTTCAGGGACCTACTCATTAGGAAGGACTTGATAACTGAAAAAACTCTTCTATTGAGTCCATAGCTAGAGAGCTTGCTTGGTAATCTTTTATGCTGCAACTTGTCAAAGATTTTTATCTCTCTAACAAACGTTTATATTAAAAGCACAGCCATGGCTCACATATCAAAGAAGATATATATCACACATCAACAAGTAGTTCTTTTACAAAATGTCACTTCATAACAAATAGAAAAATGTCTTCATTTTGTCATTTACTAGTATGATTAAGACTTGCTTTCTTATTTATTCTCTAGAAAATATCCACTTTTTCTATTCTTGACTAGCAAATAAAAATAAATGTTAGCACTGTAAGCATTGTAATTAAAGTTTGCTGAATCATTCATTTTTATCAGTTCCTTTTTTTTATTTGATATTAGTATAACATTATTTAATATTCAATGATTTCTTTAAATATTAATCATTCAAAATACTCATTTTTTTATATATTTATTATTCTCCCATTATTTAATATTTCTGTTTGCAGTGTGTACATTGGCTGTTATGGCAAGGTGCAGACCCCACGATGTGTACTCCTCAGGGCTGGACACCTGTACACATTGCTGCCATTCGGGGACATGATTTTTGCCTCCAAGCTCTGGTGAATAATAATGTCTCTCTGAATACAAGAGACAATCGTGGCAGCACTGCACTTCACATGGCAGCAGCACATGGCAATTCCTTTTGCTTGAACACATTAATGCGTGGTGGAGCTGTAAGTTAATATTTAGTATAATATAAAAATTAATCTATCTTAATCAGTTTATGCATTATAGAAAAACACTGTAGGGTCAGAAATGTTTGTAGCATTTTTTAAGTGAATTTCAAAGACAATATTTAGATATTTATACATAGATTTATTTATCCACATATGTGCCATTTTGTTTCATTACTTTTTGTCATCTTTGAGACAGCTTCATGATTTCATCCTCCCAAAACTTAGTGTCTTACTGGGTGATGAACTGTCTAAGTGGTTTTTAAAGGCTTTCAGAGAATTGAAGTTCCTTCCATTAAGAGAATTCTCTAGCGATCAAAATGAGTGGTATTCCAAAGGTGCAAGATCAGGTGATTGCAAGTAGAGTAGATCATCCCAATCGAGCTGCCAATTTCTGCAAGATCTGCAAAAAGACATGAGTTGTGGTATTGTTCTGATGCAAGAATACACCCTTCTGAGTGGCTGATTCTAGGTGTTTTTCATTGATTACTGCCTTTAACTGGTTCAGTTGAGAAAAGTATTTTTCTGAATTTAACATCTGATTTTACAAAAGGAGCTTGTAGTATACACCAAACTTGCAACCCCACCAAATACACAGCATCACCTTCTTCCGCTTTTAAAGTGCCTCATTTCATTTTTCCTTCCAGACCTATTATATTCCACATTCATCTTTCATTGCCTGTGATCATTCTTTTAAAAAATGTTTGATTTTTGTTGGGTCTTTTTGTACAGTATTTTTTCAAGAAATAAAAGAGCATTAAATGACAAAAATGCATCGCATATTCTTCCATTTTCACTTTTGGCATAAAAACATTTAAAATTCACAGTCTGCACACAAATTGTATAAAAAGACAGATTGAAATGTCCCTTTTCAGAATATGTATATATGTCATAAATTTCAGTTACATGTGAAACAATATCACATGTTCAAATGCCACCTATTGATAAATGCTACAAACTTTTTTCCAACTGAATAAAATTTCTTTCCAGCCATTTGTAAAATTTCTGTTCAAAGAGCAGAAATTATTTGAATATCACATAAAATTGACTCCTTTTTTTCTGTTTAATCCTTGTTTTCATTGCTTCTTTAAGCCAGCACTCTCCCTGCTAGCCAACTTCAATTTTTCAATCTAATCTTTTGCTTTTAAATTTAATTGTGCAGTTATTTTATACCTACAGTGTCCAAAAATAGTTTGTTAAAGTATTTTTTGTTTAGAAATCCTGAATAAAACTATTTTTAAAAAAAGGAAAATAAACTAATTTTTCATTCTGCTTTATCACAGGATGTAAATGCTGTGGATAAGAATGGTTGGACAGCAATGCATGCAGCTGCTTTCCATGGTCGGCTGGGTTGTGTCCAAACATTGTTCAAATGGCAGGGAAGAATTGATGATACAGACAATTATGGCAACACTCCAGGTGAGTGAACCATCATTTGACTCATTCCAATATGGTAGTAATTTTGATTCTGAATATAATCATAATAGCATCTATTTCATACCTAATCATGTCTCGGTGAATATTTACTTCTCTGTAATATTTTAATTTGTAATATAACAAAAACCTTTATGTCATTATACAGCTATATTATACATTAATTAGTGCATATGATGACCTGCAAGTGAAACCCACAAAATGGTTGCTGCTTGACAACATTAAGAAAAAACTAAATTTCTACTAAATTTCCACTGCACAATATCCCACTTCCTGCCTTCTGGATCTCATTACTTGCATACTTTCACTGGCATGGAAAAAGGATGATGATGTGTAACTCCCACACAAAGGAAACTAAACATACTCTTAAAAAAAGTGACATTCATTACCTCAACATATTTAAGCTATATCAAATTTATTATGTTACCATATTATACTACTGTTCAAGTAGTTTTGTGACTCGCTTCTTAAAAAGTTCAGTTCTTAAATCAATTTGAGGTAAATCATCATGTATGACTTAGAATTTTGTGTTATGCTTGTAACTTTCCTACATCTTTGATCCTTGTACATACTTGTATAACCTGTAATACTATAGAGATGTCTCCTATATTATACTTTATCAATTAATATTTAAGTATATTTTCATGTCAGTATGTATATTAATTAAAAAAATTTGTATTATAATGTAATGAATGAATGTCATCAGGTTAGCATATTAAACATTAGATTAAGCCCATTTCTAGATAGAAATATCCAATAGATGTTATAAAATATTTTAAAGCATTACAATAATTAAATAGTAATGGTGATATTAAGGAGAATATAAATATTGACAATAACCTGTTTAGAGTTATCCTGATTAATATTTCTATCATTTCTATTTCATCATTGTCTTAAGGAAAACAAAAAATAATGTCAGTTCTTGAAAGGAAATATCTATTAAAAACTAAGAATTTGGGATCAATATCTTTAGAGTTAGATTATCTATTTCAGCAGTCAGTCTATGCAGCTGATTCTGATTTGGGATCTTTTCTTATTCATCTTTAAAATATCAGTTCCTTGCACTTGTGTATTAAAAATGAGATGAATTATTTTGTCATTTAAATTGTTGTAAAATAATACTTCATTGCATTTCTATTTCCCAACTTCATTCATTTGGGAATCATTTTATTCTACTATAATATTAAATAATCAGTGTTTATGCTTATTGAGTAGACTTCATTCAGTTATCTCATACCATTCTTAATTATTCCATTGTTTGTATTTTTCCATGTTATGAATACTTATCAATTATTTTGGTTGTTTATTCTTAAAATTCACACATTATACTTTATGTTGGTCAATTCTTTCATGAATTTCTTTATCATCATTAAATTTGCTTAAAGAAGTGAAATTGCAGTTAATTGTAACTCAGAAAATAAAATCAACAAACTAGATTTAAATTTAGTTTCAATTTGTATCTGTTCTTCATGTTTTTAGCTACCCACTTCTTGTATTATTGTGTACATTATCTTGCCATTCCTTGAACAGCTTTTGCCAGTCAAAGACACTTGACTTCTTCATAGAATGTTTACCATAAGATATTTTTAATAAAGTTAATGTTTCACTAGGTTTTCTTCAGAAAAAAAAATTGATGCTAATTCAATGCTCCAGATTCCTTTCACTCATTTTCCACCAATATTATAGCATAAACACATACAACTTTCCTCTACTACTCAACAATAAATGATTCATGAGAAGCTGGAACATGTACAGATATGCTTGGGTTCAAATGTTTGCCTAATTCATTATTTCATCAACAGGAATTAAATTGTCACACCTCATGCATCAAGTACAGCCTTTACATAAATATTTACTAACATCAAATGAATGCTTGCAACATCTTCATCTTCCAAAAACAGAAATTCTATGATCAATCTGTGTCCCAAGGGGAAACCATTTTGGAAGAGAATTATAGGTGGAAAAAGAAATGCTAACTCCACAAATTTTCAAATAGGTACAAAAAAAACTTAGGAATTTTTAATACTTTAAAAATTAAGTTAAAATAGGCATTACTTTTTGACTAACCTTCATATGCTAAGCTATGCCCAATTTCATGGTATCAAGTATCAACTTCATTATGACTTTTTGATGTTAAGTCTAATTTTCAGAGGTTAGCTGATATTTTCTTTATATTCATTGTCTTGACTAAACAACCTTCAGATTTATAACTGTCCACAAAAAAATCTAATGGATGAATTATACCCCTGAGAAAAATAGAAAAATTCATCAGCCAAAATGTAGTGATAAAAATAATGAGGATGAGAATACATGTAAAAAATATACCTATTTTTTTTTTATGGCATTTTTTCATAAACTTTTCATTTCTGATTTTGATTAGTATCTGATTTATTTAACCATTTTTGTGCACCTGTATAACGTACAACTGAACACAAAAAAAAAACAAATTGTTTTTAAAGCATTTGGATTCTTATAGAACAGAATCTTCTTGCCTGACTGCTACTTCATTGTTCAATGCTGAAATTCTAGTCAGGTTAGGTTTTGGATTTCATGCTAGCCTTCCTACTCACAAGTGTCACAGTGACTCTGCATAGTGTTCTTACTCACTAATCAAGTATACTGATATGCAATATGGAATAGTGGAATATTTAATAATAAAATAATTTAAATACTTTATTATTTATTATTTGATAGTCATGCTAATTTCCTGATTTAACAAATTAAACTAGTATTGACTGGGAGTTGACTTATTTTGTTCATTGTTATACAGTCAAAATCAGTAGGCTTTCATTACTGCTTTCCTTCTGACTTATACAGAACTACACCATTTGTTTGTGTCAACGATTAAAATGGAAATGATTCTGAATTACAAAATAGCTTGTGTTGATTAACATTTCTCTTTATGTTTACTCGGCTAATTTTTTATATTAATGTGGTTATTATAAATTACCTAAAATTCAGTGTAACCTATCATTGGAATCTTAATTGTGGTCATAATCATCTATTTATGACAACCAACCACTTGAATAAGTTTACAAAAGTGCCAAGTTCACTAAAGTGAATAATATGTTTGATCTAACAAATAAACAATGTACCACTTGCATAAAACATACCAATATGAATCCAGTGTAAAATATTTTACAGCTTGATAAGCTAATATTCAGAAATCTTCTATGTAAACTAGAATATTGTTTATATATGATTTTTCTTGTATTTAATTATATTTGTCTGTATTATGTTTTGCCTATACAGCTCATCTGGCAGCAATGGAAGGTCATTTATTGTGTATCAAGTTTCTACTTAGTTGCAAGTCTAATCCCAGGGACATCTTTGGAGCCCGAAATGATCATGGAGAGATACCCAAAGACTTGGCAGAACAGTTTTATAAGGATGACGTAGTAAAGTACATTGAAACTATTGAAAAGGAAAAAGATGGCCCAGAAAATATGGAAAGTAAGAGAATACATTTACACCAGCATCATTTAATTTCGATGAAAGTGAAATTAAACATTATAGATTTTATTTATATAAAAAAATTGTTGTTCAATAGAAAAGTCACTTATGTTTGTAGATATATTTTATTTCCATTGATAAATAAGTTTCTTATCTATTATGCATTTGCCAATGAAAAGAAAGTTTTGTCAATGGAAATGAAAATTATGCTTGTGATTATATAACTAAAAATTTTCAAGAAAAGTGTATCTGTGAATGGATTCTCACATTGAGAATGTCAGATGGGGATTCAGTAAATTCTAAGTGTTTACTGAACAACCTGCATAAGGAAATTGTTTAAAGTGGTCAGTTGCCCGTGCCTTGCAAGACACTGTCTCTCCAACATAGCACCATGTCCTGTACTTTGTACTACATGTCAAATGATGCTACAAAGCTTTTTGAATGTTTTCTACTTCCTAGTTGCATGTTCGCCATTGGATCCTATAAGAAGCTCATCTACCCTTTGCCAACCAATTTCCAGGCTGGTTTTAATTCAGAGTTTTCCTTCTCTTAGATTGATTGCCAATCAAGGCTATAAGGCCTAGTCTGTCCTGCTAGTTACCTATAGTAGGAGGGAGAGATAGGTTCCTACCTTTTCCAAGAGTATTTGTACATAAGTGAATGTAATGAACTTGACTGGAATTTAAACTCTGCTCTCCAAGTTCTCATTCAATTATACCACTTGCACTGGCTCAATGTTGCTTAACTTTGGTGATCGAACATAAAAACCATTGCTTCAACATGATATGGCTTCTCTCTGTCACTATATATATATATATATATATATATATATATATATATATATATATATATATATATATAGAGTGATTGCTTTATGCACTCATCAAATTCTGGAGCAGCTCCTGTTCCTACACCCTAAAATATGGTGTGCTCCTTTCATAAAAAAGGAAGCGTTCCCACTCCTGTCAAAAAAGGAGTGTGCTCCTTTACTCATCCCAACAGTATGTTGTAATATTACATTAACAAATTCTTAACTGTTTGTCATCTAATCCTCACAATTTACTGCCTGCCATGTAACCACAAACATCTGCCTTAAAATTTCTTTCTTTCTTCTTATGTGTGTTGAGAAGTGAGTAGAATAACTGATCAGGAGTAGAAAATTTTCAGAAAATTAATTTATATAAACAATCTTTTCATGCATGCAAAAAAATAATTTTTTAAGTCACTTACTGTGTGTGTGTGTATATATATATATATATATATATATATATATATATATATATATATTTAGAATAGTTAATAAATAATGTTTTCCATTTATAATCAATTTTTTTAACAGTCGAAAGTTGGATGTCATGTATATAAGATAATTTTGCTTACAAAATAGAAAAGCGTATCATTTTTTAAGAAAATTATTGACACTTGTTAACAGAAAGCTGTTTAAGTCTATATCTCTCCATACCCCCACATAAATTTAACACATTTTGGACAGATTCGACACTTCTCTGATTTTTTTAAAGTTTCATCAAAAGTAAGAAAAATTAGAAAATTTACAGTTTAAAATAGGTATCTCCACAGAAATGGGATATCTAACGTTTAAAATGAATTTTTAAAAATAAAAAGTCTTTCTTGAAGCTTTTATTTTAGTTTTAATTTCAAGTTAATAGATTAAATTTAATATTTTCAATAAGCAAAATACTTTTTCTGTATTTCAAAACTAATTTAAATTGAGTGGAAGGAGTTTTCAATTTGAAATTGCTAAAATCACTGATTTTAGCACCATTTTTAATCATCTGTCATCACAATGTAATTCTCTTTATTAAAAATCTTTCAAAAATAAAAGATATTTTACTGAAATTTTATTTGATGAATATTAGCTGATTTAAAGTTTCATTAATCTGATCTGAAACAAATATTACTTTATGTTTAAAATATTGTGGAAATGCATTTTTTAACATGGTGGTAGCTTTTTATTTAAGGTGTTGATAGCTTGAATGACATTTAATTTTTTTCTACAGTGGACATATCTGTAAAAATTACTTGAGAAATATAACATGAGTGCCTTTTTATACAATTTTTAACTACCCAGTAATCTTAAAAATTTAGAAAAGTATTATCTGTAATCTAATGTTTTATTGAATTTTAGGTACCTTGGCTTTAAATTTTCTATAGTTATCACTTTTATTTTCTGAAAATGTCATATATGGATGTCCATATTTACAAAAATGAGCAGGTTTATGCACATACAAAAAATTCAAACTTCTTTTTAAAATATTTTATTAGGATTTTTTATATGAATAATAAATATAGTTTTTACTTAATAACAATATCACCTAACCAAAACAAATTTGAACAAAATTTTAAAAGATTAAAAACTTTATAAATTGTAATCAAAATGAAAAAAAAATGAAAACAATTCTTGTAAAAATTAAGTATTCACCGAAAAAATTTTTTTCTTAAAACAATAGTGTCCATAATATATCTTATTCATAAAAGCATTTAGAGCTTTTTTAATTAATGTCTTAGTTTTATTACATTTTTTATTTTATGATTCAGAGCAGATTTTTGGTAACTGGGTGTCCTGTTTTGCAAAAAGAAATTGAGAATTTAAATTCTCCAAGATGTTCTGTGTATAACTAATATAAACATTAGTGGTACAAAAATTAATTTCTCAAAATGTCAAAATTAAATAAGTTGGGATAACAGATGTAAAAAAATTGTTTTACTAAGATTTTCTAAAAAAGAATACATTTCTAAAATAATTTAATTCATTTGTGAATGAGTCCTGAAAGTTTCATTAAAATCCAACAATTATTCGATTTTTGCAAGAATTTCTAAGTCAATGTATTTTTCACCACAAAAAAATACTAAAATTTCCTATACTAATCTTTGATCCCCTGCTGACACAAGAAAAAAAAATTTTACCTAAGTTTCAAACATTCTAAAAAGGATAAAAAAATACAATTACGAAAAAAACTTTTTTCTTTCCTCTTAATAATAACAAAGAATTTGACAATAAAACTTTAGTTTTTCTTATGTTTGGGACATTTTTTTCATCATGTATGGTCATTTTTTAGGAAATATGTGGAGGTACCTATAAGTGCCACAAATAAATATATTAAAAAAAAAAAATATTTTAGAAGCACTTGTTAACTTGCATTATTAAATCATTACATGTTTTAATGTTGAACTCAAATAAAATACTGCTTCCAAAAGTAAGTATTTTAAAAGTAAATAAATTGACCTTTTCATATCTTACTGCAATTAACCCCTCCTCACACAGATACACAAACTCACATACAGACATTGTGGTTTTTAGAAACCCAGCCAACAAAGCTTAAACTTTCTTAAACTGTAGCTATTTGTCTGCCAAAAACTTTAACCTTTAGTTTTGAATCAGATCAAAAGAAAAAATGGCAATACGGGCTTAAAGTATTTCAATATTAACTAATTAAAAAAAAAAAAAAGAAATCTCTCCCACACTCAGATGGCAGCCCTTCAAATATTACAACTTCAGTTTTTTGGGGTTTTTTTTTAAGTTTCTAAAAAGGATTAAAAATATAATTTAATAATTGTCTTTCCTCTTAATAATAAGAATGATTTTGATGCTAAAACTTAGACAGATTGTTTTTAGTTACAAATTGCTTTAGCATTCCATTTTCATTCAAGATAAGATAAAAATATATTAAACCTAACAGTGATAGTAAGAATAAAAATAAAAACAGAAAAATCATTTGGTACATACCCCCATTTAACTAAATGGTTAGTACTAAGTTAGGGCAGAAGTTTCTCAATTTAATTGAGAAACACTTCCCCTAAATAATCCACTTAAGATTTTTAACAGAAATACATTAAAACTAAGCTATAGCTGTACAGATAGTCTTGAAAATATTCTTAAAAAACATAATAAAATTTTAAATCAATACAAAAACCTAAGTAATAATTGCCATTCCATAGCAGTAAATGCTAATAATACCAACATGTGTAATTGTAGAAATCCTAACAAGTGTCCATTACAAAATAGGTGTCAAACTGATTTCCTTGTTTACCTAAGTACTATTTCTACTATAGAAAATCCAACAGTTAAAAAATTTTATATCAGGAGTACCAAGAATTCCTTTAAAACTAGGTGATATCAACATATATTATCTTTCAACAACAATGCGTACAGAAATAGGATGTCCCTTTCCAAATATTTTTGGAACTTAAAAGAAGTTAACAAAACTCTTACAGTAAAATGAAAAATATTAAAAAAATAGAATTTGTAAATCTTTAAATGGGCTGTGTTTCCTATGTTTACAGAAAAAATTTCAAATAATCAAATTTGCTAACAAAAAAGCTCTGTTAAACCAAAGGAGTGAATTAACAGTAAACTGTCGACACAGTCTATCTTTTACCTTAAAATATAGTTAAATTTTTTATAAAAAACAATTATGTATTACAGTTAGCCATAATTTTATTAGTATATAATAGTCCACTCTTTAATGAACTTATTTGGTTTATTCAACTTAAATATTGCTATGTTTTGCTATCTATTCAGTATTATTAGCATTGTATATAGATGTTCCACATTTTTAATTTTATTATTTTTTATTTTGGCCCCTTTAAGGAGCTACCTGAATATAAAAAAAAATTTTATGTTAACTTTGTCTGATTACCCACCCACCCCTAACAAATAGAACCTTATATTCAGCAACAATAACAATACATTTGTCGCTGCCATATTCTCCACAATCATGATGCCTTGTCTATGTGCCATTTATTGTGACATGAAAAAATAACTCACTCACCTCCACCCCCTGACCTTATTTTTCTATTTAGTCTAGATCTGATATTTAATTGGTTAATCGAGACATACGTACAAGTATAGTGTTTTAATTCTGACACCCCACAACTTTCAGAAAAGAGGTAATGTTTTGTTTTTAAATTTCCCTAAAAAAATCATTTTATCACCAGTTACCAACCATCACCTGAGGAAGTACAATCATAGTATTAAAACATGAAAGCTTTTGTGTAGCAACTTAAAATGTCTATATTATAATCTCTCATAATAAAAATATAATGATAGTATTTTGTTCTACTTTGTATTGAGCACTTTTTAAAAGTAAATGCTATGAACTGTGGATTTTTACTCCATTTGTTCTTTCTCTCATTTGTGTGTATATATATATATATATATATATATATATATATATATATATATATATATAGTGAGAGAGAGGAGAGTCTTTGTTAATGTGTATGTAGGTATGTAAGTATTTCTTGATAGTAGTAACTCTTTTGACTCTCTGGGGGATTTTTAGGTGTCCGAAGTTTGAGGGTAAGGGACAGCAGATGAAATTCTTTTCAGGACCTGGTCTGGTTTGTTTACCTGCCCGTGACTATCTGTCTTAACACTTTTTTTTTAAGACAATAGAATTCATTCCCAAATTGTTCTTGATTTTGATTGATTCCAAAAATGACTCATTTGACAATATCCTTTTTCTTTACCTTACATTTAGGAAAGGTAACCTTTTGGCCTCTTATTTATTTATTTTTTCCTTATCTTTTTGTTTTTATTTCTTTATGGCAAACCAAAATGATTTGAAATGGTGATCTTTTTCTTTTTCTATCACTACAATACACTCCAAGCATTTTGTCTGTCTATTTTTTATGTAATCTAATATTCTGATGATCCTCATGCTATTTTAAGTATAAGATAGAAAGAAATCTTTTATTAAGTTTGAAATGTAAGTTCATATCATTTCTTCAACCTTCACTTTCTTGTATCCATAAATCTAGACAAATTTTAAAATAACAACTGATAATGTAGCTGTGATTTGTTTGTTTGTTTTTAGTTTATTTTTTATGGTTTATCAACCATTTGTGGATTATTTAAAGCCCAAACATATTTTAGATTGTAAGAATAATTCTTTTTCTTTGAGAGTGAATATTGCATTAACAATTATTTTAAAAATAACAATGATTTTTCTAAATACAAGCCCTAATATTTAACCCATTGCTGGGGAGAAAAGATGGATTTATACCTTTCCCAAGGGTATTTGAGCATAAGTGAGAGTTGTAGTTGTAAAGATTCATTTTTAAGAAGTGACATCAAGATTGCTCATTAATTTTCCTGTTTTAGTATATTTGCAGAATTAATAAAACTCACATAGAATAAGCATCTACGTTCAAACATTAAATGTTTTTATAATTTTTATTTAATATTTTTATAATTATTTGGTAGATCTGTCATTCCCAGCACATGTGGCAGCTTCAAAAGGTGATGTGGAATACCTGAGAAAGTTGATAGAAAATGGAGTTATTAATATCAATGAACGAGATGATAAGGGATGTACCCCTGCACATAAAGGTGCATGTCTTTTTGACTTATTACTCTATCCTTTTCACACTTTTATCAAGGGTTTATTTATATATATATATATATATATATATATATATATATATATATATATATATATATATCTTTTGAATTAATTGTTTAATCATTTTATTTCAGATGAAAATATATAAAAGAAGTTGATGAAATTAAATGTTGATATATTTGACTACTTTCAGCCAAACAATTAACCATTTTTATTGTTTTCAACAAGAGATTTGAAAGAAAAAGAAAAAAATCATTAGATGCTTAAACTTAATTCACATTTAAAATCAGTCCAAGTTATTGGAACACACTTTAGATTGAAATTCTAACACTGTCAACTTTAATCTGTTTTCACAAATAGTTTAAGTATATTTTGCATGTTTTTCACCTGATCTCATTAAATGAAATTAACAACTTATCAAAATGACCTGGTACTATTTAAACCTGAAAGAGCTCCAAAAGTAACATAGTTGTTGTATACTTTTTGTTTTTAAATTGTTTGAAATATTTCCCATTTCAATGTTAATCAATGTAAAAGAAATGGCTATGTATAAATATAAACTAAAGTAAAAATCTATAAAATTTACATCTCCAAACTATGTAGTTAATTGTCAGTAAACAGTTCATGAATATCATAAATCTTACTTATTATAAAATGCAGATTGTGTGTGTTAGTGTGTGTGTCTGTAACGTTTATATATTGGATCGGATTTCCTACATTTTTCAACCGATTTCAACAAAACTTCACAGGACTACATAAAATTACCTTGTGGTGGTTCTAACAGCACCAAAAATGGGAAAAATATAATTGTTTTTGTACAAAATCAATTTAAAAACACGATTAAGAGACATCATGAAAATGGAAGGGGGACAACTCACATCGGGTTGTTTGTGTGTATGGGAGCAGATTTCCTATATTTTTCAGCCAATAAAACAAAACTTCACTTTTTTTTTTTTTTTTTTTTTGGCAGGTAATGTTTCTTATTCTCTTGCACACTTTTTTCATTATTTTTAACATTCAGAATGCTTTAAAAATTCCATTTACAAGACAATTATTTATAATAAAATTCTATTCAATTGGGAGACTCATAACGATTGAAAAACAATGTTTTTGTTTGAGTTTGGGTTTGACCAATTCGTAAAAAAAAAAAAAATAAAAACTAATTAAGACATGCATGTCCGTCAACCTTAAACAATAATCTAACAATCTCTACTGATTATACGAATACAAACATCGGATAAATTCTTTATCTTTAGGGAAAGATAATGAAATCTAAACATACACAAGTCCTAACTAAAAATAATAACCGGAACGGGAAACTACTTTAAATACACATGGTGTCCAATTTTTTTACTGTATTCAATAAGTAAAAATCATAAATTGTAAAAAGATTATTATTACAGAAAGGCTACTAAATGAATAAGATTTGTTAGATCATAATTAATAAACCCAAATAAAGTTAATATTTTTTGTATTAGAAACAACGAGTGGAAAACATATTCAAATCAGAATTCTAATTATGAATCACCACAAGCAAAATATGCAATTTTTTTTACTGTATTCAATAAGTAAAAATCATAAATTGTAAAACTAAAAGATTACAAAAAAAGACTACCTACATTTTTCAACCGATTTCAACAAAACTTCACTTTTTTTTTTTTTGACATGTAGTGTTTCTTATTGTCTTGCACACTTTTTTTTCTTTATTTTTACATTCAGAATGCTTTAAAAATTCCATTTACAAGACAATTGTTTATAAAATTATTCTATTCAATCGGGAGACTCATAACGATTGAAAACAATGTTTTTGTTTGAGTTTAGGTTTGACCAATTTGTAAAAAAAAAAAAAAACTAATTACGACATGCGTGTCCGTCAACCTTAAACAATAATCTTTGTCAATTTTATTTTTCAGTCTTTATATTTGATCTATCTCTTACTGTTATATCGCCGGGCTCTACTGCTAGTATATCATAAACAGTGACTTACTTCACAAATAAACTTGATTAGCTTGTGGTCATAAAATGAGTATTAGATAAATTAGGTTAGTGTGATATTTAAAACTAGAAACTTTTTGGAAAACTTTAAAACATTAGATTAATTACAGAAAATTCAAGTTATAGCCTAAAAAAGAGTTTCATTTTGCTGGTTCTTCTCATATGCATTTGTTCTTAGGTTGTTTTCATAAAGGCTTTTTTAAATGTAATATATATTGTGATAAAATGAACAAAATCTAGTAAACTGGAGAGAATTGAAACTGGTGCTCTGGAAATGGTTTAAAAATAATAGAATATAGATATTAATTCACAGTATCTCCAAGAATTAAAAAAAAAAATGCCATTTCATTTCTGTTTAATTGTTTTGTTTTCATTTTTCAGCTGCTGGTCAGGGTCACAGCAACATCCTGAAATGGTTGATAGAAATGGGTGCAGATCTGAGCATTAAGAATGATTTAGGAGACATGGCAAAAGACCTTGCTGAAAGATTTGCTCATTTGTCCTGTGTTAAATTACTCACTAGTGCTTGCCCGGGTGAGAATATATTTGATATGAGGACACTTCAATTGAATTATATCACTGCTGTGTCTTTTTTTTTTTTTTTTTTTTTTTTTTTTTTTTTTTTTTGCTACTTTTCTTTGATCTTCCTTGTACTTTAAACAGATAATTTTAAGAAATGTAATACATTGCTGTACAGAAAATATTGTGTGAATTTTTTTTTTAATTTGAAAAATATTAAATTTATGTAACATTCAATCAAAGTAGAATATTGATTTAAAAATTTCTTCTAATAATACTAGAAATTAATTTCTTTTTCTGTCTCCTCATTTTAAATTAACATAAAAATTTTATATTTTATAGACATTTGCCAATCACTGAATATATTGTTTTAATGAGAAAATCTATGAGAAAGTGAATGTTACATTTTTTTTTTTTAAGCGTTTCACCCCAAGCAAGGCGGGAAGCCACTAGGATGCAAGGGGTTACAGAAGATAAAAATAATTAACTGTTCTAGTGAAAATAAAGCTCAGTGATAATCCCTTATAAAAAAAAAATGACATTTATTTAGAACAAACTTGCTTTGAACAACTATTGCTTTTTTAAGACTAAGCTGTCATCAAAACCTTAAAGGCAAAACAGTAAACACAGTTTTAATATATTTCCTTATGGGATTAATCCTTTTTTGTTTAAATTTAGTTTATTTTGGTTAGGATTTAATGTGAAATAGAATGCAATATATCTCTGCACATTGCACAATATATCTATGAATGTTCAATATGAAGATAAATTTTGGTGTGTTTTCAATTAATCCACAAAATATTATGGCCATTTCAGGTATATAAGATATCACTAAGAAAAAGTTGAAATAATTGAGTATTTAATCAGTAAATCTCTAAATAGTCCTTAACAAATGTAGCATTATATCTTTAGATATCAAAGCTGAAACTACTAGTGATGTCACTTAAGGAATATAGTAATTTAGGACCTCCACTATTTTGGCATAAATTTTTGATACCTAAAGTTTAAAATGATTTTTTAAAAATGAAAAAACATTCTTGGAGATTTCATTTTAGCTTTAATTGAAATCTAAATGATTAAATTTATTTCCAGTAAGTAAAATATTCTAGTGTGTTTCAGATAGAAATTATATAAATTGGAATGTCAAATTTAATTTTGATTTCTTAAAATTTTCTTGAAAGTGGCCATTTTCTTAATTTTAAGTAATATGTAAACAAAAAAAATTTATTGATTTTAAAATTATTTAAAAAAAATATATATATATTTCTGACGTGTTATTTGAGTAAAATTAGAAAATTTAAAGTTAAATTAATCTGATTTGAAATAAATATTACATACTTATAGCATAAAAAGTAATATACAACCATTTATTTAATGATTGGTCCTGCTTATCTTAGCTTATCTGAGGTGATAATGTATGGCCGATGAGTAATGAAGCCATGGCAAGCTAGTATGGCTGGCTAGAATTGATACAAAATTTAAGTGAACGCATTTTTTTTTATTTTTAACTACCTAGTAATTTTTACATATGAACATATTTTCCGAAATTATCTAATGAGTTATTGACTTTTATTTACCTTTTGGAGATGCTTTATGCAAAAATAAAAAAAAAATTTTAAATACTATAAAATTTTCTTAAATTAATTTCTCTGTAAAAAGACAAAACTCTTAGATCACACGACTGTTTCATAATAATGTGATGTTTAGACTTTCATAGATGAAAATATGGAACAAATTAAGTAAAAAAAAATAAGAAATAAAAAATTATTTTAAACTTAGAGTAGCATAACTATGTTTATTAACCTTTTCAATTTTGGATTCGTAAATTTCGTTTCCACTTAATTACTATATCACATCCAGGAAATAGCCCAATATAGAATTTTACATGATTTTTAACTATTTTAATTAAAACTTTTTAAAAAAAATGAGAAAAAAATTGTAAAAATTCATTATTCATGAGAAAAATTTTCTTCAGACAATAATGTAACTTATTCACAAAAGCAATTAAAAGCTTTTCTAATTAAATAATGTCAGTTTTATTGCATTCATTATTTTTGAATTCAGAACAGATTATCAGTTAGAATAGTGCAAGTTTGAAAAAAAGATTAGGCAATTTAGATTCTCCAAGGAGTCCTACTTTTAACAAATAAAAAAAAATTCAAGAAATAGAAATGTTTTTTGTGAAATTTCATGAAATAAAGTAAGGGGGGGGGTTAGCATATGTAAAAAAAAAAAAAGAAATATATTTTTGCTAAAAGTTTCTAAAAAAAAAAATTTCAAAAATAATTTCATTCATTTGTGGATAAATCCTGAAAATTTCATTAAAATTGGACAATTATTTGATTTTTGCAAGAATTTCCAAATCAATGTGTTTTCAACAGAAAAAAGTGCAAAAAGTCTATCTTATTAATATGCCACTGCAATGACGTATGTTGTGACCTTGCTAGGGGCCAGAAATAAAGACACAAAGAGAGGAATTGAGTTAAACAAATATATTAACAGAAACAGTAATACAAACATATACAAACGAGTGTTACAGCAAGAATGTTTGGTCCGACTGTCACAGCTGACTGTTGGAAACTTCCCTCTCCAAAAGGCAGTACCTGCTCCTATTTATAACCGGGAGAGTTCATGCATGCATGAGTAAATTACCATAACAACATAAATGAAACAAGATTTTAACTAAATTTTCGAACATTTTAGAAAAATTTCAAAATATAATTAAAAAATACTTTGGTCTTTCATCTTAATAATAACACAAACATTTTGACAATACTTTATTTTTATTAAGTTTGTGGTCTTTTTTATTATGCTATGCTGTTTTCCCACAAAAGAGTGGAGATACCTATAGTAAGTAATTGAAGCAAAAATCTCTGCATGGCTTCTAAAAAACCCATTTGTAAAAGACAACTAACTGAAAAAATAGAATATCAAAAACTTCCATAGAAGATGCAAAATTACCCCTTAGGATAAAGAAAATGGTTGGTACTGTGTCAGTTGGTAGATAAAGCAGATCACAAGGAAAAGAAGAACCATTGATGTAGAAAAGATTTACTACAAGTATCAAACTCTCAAGGGTAAAGAACACAGATCATGTCTGAAAACCATCAAATTCATATCATTTTATGATGTAATATGAAACATGGATCCAGAAAGAATAAGACTCTTGATAAAGGCAGTTTATAATATCCAATTTATACAATTTAATATTGTGGAACTTTCATCTTCAAAAATTAACAAAACAAAATTATGAACAAAATGCTCATACTCAAAATATTAAGTCTTTGTATTTGTAAATTCCATCTTTTTTAAATGCCATGTTCCTTCAGAATGTAGGCAACTATGGCCCTCCACAGTTGCCATTTCTTTGATATGTGTGAATTGCCTTCCTAGAAAAGAAAGTGGAATGGTTTCCTTCTGTCCTCTCCATGGTTTTGAATTCAGATTAGTCTTTCTCCTAGACTGGTTGCCACCCAAGGCTAGGGATCCCAGTCAACTTTACAATTAAACCCATAGCTGTGAGAAGAGATGAATTCATGCCTTTCCCAAATGCATTAGTGTAAAATGAATGCTTCAGACTAGGTCAGAATTTAAACTCAATTTGCTGATTCCACTTTCTGGGCCAATAACTGTTAATCTACTTACACATCCAAAATGCCATTTAGCCATCTGGATTAGAGAACTACATAGAATTTAAAAATAATAATTTTTTAATCCCTACTTAGGTGGATTGTTTTAGCCTCAAGCACATCACCACTAGTTGTAAATTTTCTCTAAAGCTACACTTGTAGACACAACCAAGTGATAGAGATCTTTGCTGAGATTACAAATCGATGGGAAACAGTTAATAAAAATTTGATTACTACATTGATAAAAATAAATTATATGAAGGAGAAAAACATTTCACAATATACTTTTGGAAAAATACAAATCATTATTGACAGTTATATAGTATAAATTTAGGACACTGTCTTGCCTTTCTAACATCACATGTTCTGACCTTGACATCTGGTTGGTTAAATTTAATGATTAAATTTATTCATCATAAATCACCTAGAAAAATTATTAAATCAATTATGATATCACATTTCAATTCAATTCAATTAATCAAAAGGTATACTTTTTTAACATATCACATTTTCTAGTTAAGATAATACTTAAAAAATACTAAAATACTAGTCTTGATAAAAATTTAAATTAAATTCTATATTTTCCTTAATACATAAATAGTATTAAAAATTATATTTTTTAATTATAAGTATTCACCATTGTCTTTGGATATACATGCTTTATTTTTTTCACCATATTTTATTTTAACATATTTTCTATGTACAAATCTCACAGATATTTTTAAATCATATTTTGTAACCAGTAATATCAAAGAGAAATCAACTTACTTTCATATAAAATCAGTATAATACTTGATTTTTTAACAGTTTTTGTGATATATCAATTTTAATTGTACAAACATCACATATTTAGATTTTTTTTTCAACAATTCAGTCAATTAAGGATTTAACAAGTGAAATCACTAAAAGGCTAATAGGTTTAAAGAGAGAATTTGGTTGTAATAATGTGTATCAATCTTCTATTACATGAAAATTTCTTCAAATTTCAGTTAATGAAGAAGAACTAGGAATTGAAGAAATCAGGCAAAGTCCTGTGGTTGAAGGAGCATATCTACAGAAACAAGCTAAAAGTAAATTCTATTTATTTACATAATCTTTATCCTCTGGCAGTAATTGTATTTTAAATAGATTCAATTAGCTCATTGTCATTGTAAATAGTAGACTGTAGTTATTTAGATAAAGTCTCGAAACAGTTGATCACCAAAATAAGAAAAAAAAGAGAGGATGGTAAGGGGGCTAAAATTGTTTAGAGTAACAAAATACAATCAGCACCCATGTCCTGAAGAGACATTGCACATAAAAGAAGAATGCATGTCTAGGTTTATTTGGGATTTATTACATGATTGATAGTTTTTACAGGATTTTATATTGCATAATAATATTGTTTCCATTTATAAAGATTTCTTTTTCTTTTGAGACCAAAAAAGCATTTTTTCAAGTTTCAGCAAGTTTACAATTTTTTAATTTTACAAGGTAATCACAAATCAGCATTAAAATTTTTCCAAATATTTCTGCATTTGTACCATTCAATTTTGGGGAACTCTTTGGTAATTTTGTTAGCAGTTATGTTATTATTAATTACTTGCTTTACAGCAATGGTTAGTTAGCTCATTTTGCAAAACCTTTGTAGGTTAGTTTTAACTTCAATGGATTCACAACTATTGTAGCTAGACTAACGTTAGAAAATATATGTATCATTATTAGGTGATCAATGCCAGATAATAAGAATAAAAATAATAAAAAGATGAAAATTATATTCCTTCATAAAATAAACAAAGTAGGTTAAGTAGACTGTTAAATTACAGTAATCCTAGCAAATTTCCTGAAGATGTCAATATTTTGATACTACCATATAAGTAACACAAAAACAAACACAAATAATATTTTTTGATTATTCACCTATCATTTGTTGCTCTAGAATTATTTTTTAAAAGGATGAATTCATGCCTTTTCCAAATGTATTAGTACAAAGTGAATTAAACAGAGTCAAGAATTTAAACCCAACTTGACACTTTCTGTGATGATAACCATTACACTACCCATATATATAGTTAGTTATATATAAAACTATATATAATCCATATATATAAATATATAGGAGGATATTAAAAAAAACATATATATGTATGTTTTGAATATACATATAAAAATATAAAAAAATTAAAAAAAAATTTTCAAGCACACTGGATTGTATATTAATATTTTTTTGATTTATTATTTCAATTAGGTTCCTCGACTAGTTTTGGCTAGCATGGCCATCATCAGGAGAAAAAAAATTTCTGCTTGTAAACTACAGGAGTAAATGACTGTTTATGAAGAAAAGGAACTTTATCTGTAGTTTTCACTTGTTTTTTTATTGTTAATTTTGGTTGGTCCTTGTGTTGGTCAAATGGCCTCTTTCAAGTTGTTTTAAGATAGAAGCTGGGGAGATTCATGAGTTGCAGAATTCCCTTCTTGGTCATTTTGACAGTTTTATTGGTTGCTGGGAGGGGGATGTGTGTGTTAAATGTATGTTATCTTTTAATTCTTTGGGAGTGTGTATGATGTGTGTAAGTCTATATATTGGTATGAATGTGTGTATAAGTGTGAGACCTCAACACCTCTGCAAGCATGTCTGTCTTGTGTGAGTGAGAAATGTTGGTAGGACTGGATTTATGGGGTTATATATTAATTCTATCAATGTTGTTAAATTTGTGGTAAAGCCTGTCTGGATGAAGTGTTTTTAGGCAGAAAATCAATTTGTTTTCATGCTCTTCTAAAATTTTTCTATGGTAATCTTTTGTCTATTTCTATTTTTTCAATTATAGTGAATTTGGCATGGCTTTTAAAATCATGTTTTTCTTGACGGAAATATTGTTCTACATGTAATAATCTTTCGTGGGGAGCCAACTTGATCTAATTCTGATAATTATTAATTCTGTAGTAAAAGGGCCATTCAGAATTTCACAATTCTAATAGATAAATTATGTTATGACTTCTACAGTTTAGAGTTGTAGTAGATTTTGAAAGTAGATTTGGTGACTGAGCTAGTGAATGAATTGGTATGTCTAATGTGATTACAACATAAGCTCCTTTTGTTGTTATATGGTGGGGAAAATCCTGTTGTTTTTATTTTTGGTCTATTACAGGTTACCTTTATCATCTGAAATTTGGTTACTACCTATGATTTTCTTAAGGTTCTTAGGTCTATGATATGCTAGAAGACTGGGTTCGTCAAACAAAATTTTTAAGTTTCGTTTGAGATGTATTTCCCAACGACTTTTGATTATCTGAGATAGTGAAGGAAAAGTGGTGTTGAAAGTGGTTACTAGAGGGATGCATCTGGATTTATTTTTAATCTTATACATTAGGGTGTCTTCTCTAGGTGTGGAAATTGCTTTATTTGTTTCCTGATTAGGTGTTGTTTATATATGTTGTGATTTGATGCACAAGATTTTGGGTGTGTTTTTTTAGTCCCTTATTGTTGAGTAAGTGCTTGGGAATTGGGAAGGTTCTCCTTGGGGTATTTTGGGTGGGTGTAGATAGATACACCATATATATATATATATATATATATATATATATATATATATATAAAGGAGGCATGGTGGCGTAATGGATAGCGGCTTGGATTGAGGAATCAGAGAGCCAAGTTCGAATTCCAGTTGAATCCATTACATTCACTTACGTGCTAATACTCTTGGGAAAGGTGTGAATCCTCTTCTTCTCCCTCCAGCTATGGGTAAATAGCAGGACAAACTGGGTTCTATAGCCTTGGATGGCAACTGGTCTAGGAGGAGGACAACTTTGAATTCAAAACCTGCAGAGGGTCGTTTGGGGACCCTGTGTGCACGTAGTGCACCAGGTCTCTGTATTCGACCCTTCAAAAAGTGTGGATGGTCCTGCACAAAACCTTCACTACTATAATCAAGTCTCATGTGCTGTTGTTGGTTTCCTAGGAAGCGATCTGCTTGACCCTCATACGTCGTATTCGACGGGAGAGTCGAGTGTGTGTGTATATATATATATATATATATATATATATATATATATATATATATATATGAAGAAATATAGTTTTAAGGTGTGCTATATTTATGGAATAAAGTGCTTCAATATCAGAGATAGTGTATGTAAATATAAAAGTGGACATTGAAGTCAACACTCAGAGGCGACAGGCTGTTTTATGCTAGACACAATCAGCAGGCCACATGTGTTGTTTTTTTTCTCAACTGTTTATATATGTGGGTCAGTGGTGCATTGTGGATAGTCCATTCTGATGATTATTTTTGCAGGAGTGGTTTGTTTATTTATTTGGGTTAATTTATTTATTTAGGTTAATTTATTTTACTTGTTTTTTATTTATTTTCATTTTATATATTCCTTTCGGTTTTAGTAATAGTAAAAAAAATTCAGATTAGTTTATTTAGTAGTTTGCTTTGGTCTGGGAAGGTAATTAAAGCTATTTTTCATCCAATTTTTGGATTAATTGCTGTAGTCTATTCCAACTGTTAATTGGGGGGGGAGTTTTTTAATTTGTTTATCATTTTGTTTGTTTATTTGGATTGATTATTTTTACTTGCTTTAATTTATTTATTTTTTAATTTTATTTATTCTAACAGTTATTTTAGTGGGAGCAGTTTGTTAATTCATTTATTTATTTGGATTAATTTATTTTACTTGCTTTTTTCTTTATTTTTTATTTTGTATATTTTTTATTCTTTTCAGTTTTTGATTTTTAAGTAATGTAGTAAAAAATTTTTTTTTGATTTTGTTTTTTTTTCACCTAATTTTTGGATTGATTGTCCATTCTAACGGTTATTTTGGCTGGGTTAGTTTGTTTATTATTTGCTTTATTTATTTATTTGGGTTGATTATTTTATCTTATTTTTTATTTTTATTTATTCTTTTTTATCTATTCTAATGGGAGTGGTTTGTTTATTTATTATTTGCTTGGGTTAATTTATTTTACTTGTTTTTTTATTATTATTTTGTTTATTTTTATTTATTCTTTTCAGATTTTGATTTTTCAGTAATGTAGTAAAAATTTGTTTTCATGTCTGCATTTTGAGATGAATTCAGATTGCTGATTTAGAAGTTTATTTTTGTCTGGAAAGGTAGCTATTTTTTCCCTCCAAGCAAAGTTTGGTTAATTTATTTTGCTGATGATCTTTTCCTTATTTTCCATATTTTTGCTGTGGTTTGCATTTTGTTTTTAATTTCCAAGATATACTTAGAGAGCATTGTGCTGTTCACATATTTACTATTTGTAAAAGATGTTTTGTGTGCATAGTTTCTTTGTTTCCAGGGACCTTCAGTTACTCCTATGTATATTTTTTCTTCATTATCTGGCGATTTTACCATGGCTTGGTATATTACATTGTTTTGTAAGCAATTACTGTTTAAGGAACATTCATTCTTTATTCTGCAGTTACATGTGGGTTTAATTTGTTCAGGTGGTTTGTTGATAGCTTTCTTGTTGTGCTTTTTTATTATTTGTGCCATGTTCTCGATGCAACTGTAGCTGATTTTTCTGTGTTTTTGTTGAATATTTTGTATAGAGTGCTTGATTCTGGGAAGTGTTTCTGTAAGAGTTTGAAGAATATTTTTCCTACATTTGTTTTTACGTTTTTGCTGTATGGTAGGTTGAACCATAAGATATTTCTCTTCCTGTTGGATTTTTTTGTGCTCTGTGGTGAGTTTGTGAGTGTTGCCAAGAATCCACTATCTTTTAGGGCTGTTTCATAGTCTGTCTTAGCTTTGTTAAATATGGTTTCATTGGAAGAATTGTCAGAAAGTCTGCGGTTAATCGATTTTGGTATCTTTCTGATTATAGAAGGCGGGTGATGTGTGTATATACAGTGGTTTATCATTGGGTTTTTTGTATGGTTTATATGTGCCTTTTCTTAGATTGAAGGTAATATCTAGAAAATCTACTTCATTTAGGTTAGTTTTTATGTCTATGTTGAATCCATTATTTTTGAAAATCTTTATTATTGCTTTTCTAGTTTTGTCTGTGTTTTATTTATTATAGTTTCTTAAGATTATAAGACCGTTGACTTCAATATCCACTTATATATAGGGTGTATCAAAAATACTTTTACAAACTTTGGGGACATGTTCCTCACACCAAAACAAGGACAAAATCCATATAAACATATGTCTGCAAATCCTTTGTTTTTGAGTTATTAAGTTTAAAAAAAGTTTATGCTTGATGGCGCTGTGTTGCCATATACACTAGATTACATTTGTCATTCATGTACATTTGTCTGTCTTCAACATTTAACATGTGTAGTAGTGAGTTAACTGAGAAGTGTTCTGTTTAACAATGGCAGGATATTCATATCAAGAGCAAGCAGACATGATTTTTACATATGGCTACACAAATGGTAATGGACACAAGGCTGCATGGCTGTATCAGATTGCATTTCCAGACTGAAGGCAGCCGAGTCATCCAACTTTTGCTGCCATTTAATGTAGCACTGCTGAGACAGGATTTGTGGCACCACAAACTATGGATCAAGGAAGACCGAGATCCACTCATATGCCTGACCATGAAGAACACATTATACAGGCTGTTAGTGAAAATTTAAGTATCAGCACATATCAAGTGGTGCTAGCATGTACATCTCATAGTAGGACATGGAGTGTACTTCAAGAGCAGCTCCTGTATCCATATCATTTTCAACATGTACAGGGTCTTTCACACTCTGATCACTCACAACAGGAGAACTTTTGCTGATGGTTTATTGCATAAACTACCAATCCATTGTTTGTCTCTTCAGTTTTGTTCACAGATGAGGCAACATTTGGAAGAGATAGAATAACAAATTTACACAACCAATATTTGTGGGTGGATAAGCATACCCTTGGTAATAAGCAGGTATAAGCAGGACACCAGTATCAGTTTACGATTAATGTGTGGGTTGGAATTGTAATTGACTGTCTGGTAGGTTCATATGTTCTCCCAGTATGTCTTACAGGAGCTGTCTTCAGGGACTTTATTTTGAACACACTTCCAGACCTGCTAGTGGATGTACCCCTGCTAATACAGAGATGCATGTGGTTCATGCATGATGGGGCTCCAGCACATTTTAGTCACATTGTTTGCAATGCACTGGCTAACATCTACCATGAAAGATGGATAGGTATGGGAGGACCAGTTCCATCGCCTGCATATTCCCCTGACCTCAATCCTTTGGATTTTTATGTGCGGAGCCACCTAAAACAATTGGTTTATGCAGCAGACATTAATAATGCAGATACTCTTCATCAACATGCCACGAGTGCCTGCAAAATCATTTGACACCATGTGGGAGTATTTGAAAGGGTCTGCCAGTTAATGATCTGGCAGGTGCATGCATGTATAGAAGCAATCGGAGGACATTTTGAACATTTTTTTATGAGTTGCTGTGTTGAGATACAACAATGACCTTTTGGACATATGTTTATATGGACATGTTACCTTGTTTTGATGTCAAGAATCCACCCCCAAAGTTTGTAAAAGTATTTTAATGCACCCTGTATGTGTGTGTGTGTGTGTGTGTATATATATATATAGTAACTTGTGAAAATAACTAAATAAGAGTCTGAAGGTTTTCTAAGATCAGTTGAATTTCAATTTGGTAATTTTGTCTTTATCTTTCTTTCTTATGAGCATCATTGTTTGATACTTATTTCCTATTTCATAAAACAAACCAGAATAGCTTTTTAAATGTACATTGATCAGTATCTATCAAACCTTTTAATCTTTCTGTGTGTGTGTGTGTGTATCTATTTCAATAATTCTCTATCTTTAAATCTTTGTGTAGCCATCTATATTGAATTTTTAAAATATATATATTAAGTATTACTCTGTAAAATTATATTAGCTATAGTAATGTTATCATTGTGATGTATTTTATATTTAGTTTATAATGTTATGAATATTGATTATTAAATTGTAGTTGTAACAGTTCAAAAACAATATACAGAAATATTGTTTGTCTTTCTTGCAGGTCGTGCCAAGCAAAAGATGATTAATTTGGAACATGATTTAGAGATTGCTAAGAAGAATTACATCCAATTGGGTGGGGTTCTTATAGATGAAAAGAAAAAACTGGAACAATTGAGAGAGAAGGATCAGTAAATAAGTTGACACTTTTTAATCAAGAAATTCATTTTTTTGTGTTCATCAGTCTGCTACAGAAAAGTTTTCTAAGTGTATCAATAAAGTATGTGGAGTTCATCAGATACAATTACAAAATGGCCTTTTATAGACTTTTGTAAGATGGAAAAGAGAATTTACTTTTTTACATTTCAAAATGTTTTCAGCACCCCCTTATATATATATATATATATATATATATTTTAAACACTAAATTTCTGTGAAAACTGACTTTGCCATCTCTCAGTTTTATGCTCACTATAATAAGTGAGAAGCAATAATCTTCCCAAAATAAAATTGCATTTAGTAATAACATTTTTTAAGTCCATAACATGTGAGGAATGTAATGATTTAACTTAAGAAAATTTTAATTTTTTTTTTTTCTGTTTTTTTTTTTCATTTTTATGTCAGGCACATAGATGAACTTGATGCACAGTTAGAGTATGAGCGCCTCCGCCGTGAGAAATTGGAAGCTCAGCTTGACCAATATCAACAAGAGATGGCCTACCTCAGCTCTAAATTGGCTCAACATTCTGCAGCAGCAATGGTAAGTAGAAGGTGTGACTTGGATAATGAAAGAAGCATGGTAGAACTTTGCCTTCTACTCTAATTTTGGGATTAGCTCTTCATAGAAACGGATCATCTTGAAGAAATTGATTAGTGTGTTTAACTTTTTAGTTACATAATTTTGAGTTCACTATTTCTTTAAAAAAATTTTCTGTATATTAAATCATGCATAAGCAAATTTTATACACTCTAAAGCTGGCTTTCAATTTGTTTAATAGCTGATGTGAATTTTCTATAAGTGCTAAATTTAGCTTTTTAAAGATGTTTGTGTTGATCATACAAAGTGTTATTAAGTATCAATTGACAGTTGTTTATTATCGATGCCCTGTTATAATATTAATTTGCTAATTTAATATGGTATTTAAATGACCTTTCTGATTTTTATTTGTTGTAATATCAAGTAAAACCTTGTGATGCACTTGACACAAGGATTATGAAAATACTTAAAAAAATCAAAACAAGTTTTTCAAAGTATAATAATGAAGAGAAGAATGATTTGTTTCTCTTGTAATAGGAATAAAATCTTTTTTAAAAAATTCATCTTTCTTATTAAAAAAATGAAGCAACATGCTCACTGTGATTCAAATGTGGTATTAAATGTAAATAAAGTAAACATTATATATAAATAAAGCTGAATTAATTTTCTAGATGATTACACTTATTAAACATTGGCTACACTGCATTAAAATTAGCTTCTAATCTTTTAGATTCCAGTTTTATTAAAGACAAAAACTATAAAGACACTTGTATGATGTACCTTCCCTGTGCCTTTTATATAAATATTTACATGGCAATTGTTTGAATGATCTTTCATTTTGGGTATCTAGACTTTATGAATTTAAGCATAGTACTACGTTGGCAGCAAGATCTCATCATTTTACAGCTAAAATAGATCTAACCATAAGTTCTATTCTAATAGCTTCTTTTCTTGCACATCTGGCTTGTGGAACTCTCTTCCAGCTTTTTGCTTTTTTGTCAACTATGATTTTCAATAACTCAAATGCAATGTCAATTGTTATCTTCTGTCTCCTTGAACTGTCCTTTTCCTCAATTATGTTTTCTCACTTTCTTTGACACTTGTTTCTTCTTGCTTGTGGTGAAATGATTAAAAAAAATGATAGCAATGAGTCTCAAGCCCTTTAAGCATGGAAAGCAAAATGAGAACAGTCTACCCCCAGTGGACTGAACCATTCAAAATTCCAAGAAGGTTACCAAGTCTGACAACAGATATGTAAAGAAAGCCGGAACTTAGTAATAAAATTAGATGTAAAATTCTGGTTATATTCAAATTTGATCAAGTAAGTCATTCCAATGTTTAAATATTTTATTTTGAAAGTTAACTTTACCTTGATGATTTTCTGATTCTTATCAAACATGCTTTGTTTTATTTCCTTCTGATAGTGCAGCATACATTTTATAAAACTGTGTTTGTGATGTATAAAGGTAAAAAAAAGTATTTTTAAAAAGTTATAAAAGCCTTGTTAATGGATGCAGGTGTAAAAAATAATAAATAAATATAAGATCAATAGTTTCTATTTCTGAGAAGATAAAAATGTCTATATTTTGCAAAATAAAAATATCTTTGTTTTTTTTATTCAATTCACACCAAGCAATAAAGCCACTAGGATGCAAGGAGTTACTGAGTGTGATAGAATATGGGAGGGGGGAACTATTAAGGAGAGAGAACACTAATAGATCAGGAATTAAGAAAACAGAATATAATGATTGACATTGCATTTAAATTTTTGAAAATCAAACTTGACCAGGAAGCAAGAAGCCAGAGAGAGAGAGTTCAACAAACAAGAAGTGCGAGAGAAGAAACTGTCAGCATAGAACTTAGTTACATCTAGCAATTTCAACTGTAACGTGATGAGATCATGTTGCTAATCTAGTACTGCACTTAAATTCATAAAGTCTATGTACCATAGAGGAAAGTAATATTTATTCGGTTTAAGACAGAAATGTGGCACATGGCTGTAGGGGGGATTGGGGGAAAGGATGGTCTTCCTCTGTCTTAACTATAACTTAGCTAGCTACAAACACTGACCCAATCGTATAAACAATATTCCTTACACCAAAACAACACATTCATACGTACCTTTCTTACTACATTCACCATAATACCTCACTGTCTCTATGAAAATACTAACTAGTCCATATTTACAATTCAATGGGGGGAGGGGAATAAAACAACAATTCTAAAAACTAGCCCCAATGAGTATTTACAATATGAATACAAAACTATTTACAAAAAACTAAAGAAAATAATATTAGTAATAAAACCCCCACAATCACTAAATGTGGCAGAAATATCAGTTAACTGGCCGAAATCAATGCGAGACTATAATAATATAAAACATTCATTCATCCCAAGCACACACACTGATATGCACTCATTCAAACACAACAACAAATACAAAAAACACTCATGCGAAGTGAAAGGTGCCCCGCATCCACCAGTGAACTGACATCACTGACCACCTAACGAAGGAGGGGATGGGGAATTAAACAAAGAAAAACAGGGACAGAAATAAAAGGGAGCCAATGAGCATACATACCCTAGCTAAGTTAACTGAAAGAAAAAGGAACTAAAGCATCAAAATCTGAACCTAACCTAGCCTAGTTTCAGGATGGGTTGCACAAGTTCAACCCAGGAAGAGCAATATCCTGATGCCTAACCGGCATCAAAGTGCCACTCAAGGTCAGTACCTTTCACACGACACAAACGCACAAGATTCACCCACCTTTTGCTAAATTATGATGAAGTGAGCTGCCATCTTTCCATCCTAATCTTGATTTTAAGCTGATGCTTAAATTACAAGATCAGTTGGGAAGAAGTGAACTTCTCACCTCCATAGAATCCATTCTGATGTGTCGTCCAAATCACGACTCTCATAACACCTTGCAAGCAGTGGAACACATATTGTTCAGCCTTTGTCAGCGGCGGTGCCACATTGCTACAAATGGAAGAGGCCTCAAGGACAAAGAACTTTCCCTGCAGCATGCGGACCATGAGGCCTTCAACAAACTTGCACAATGGCACTACCAGCCTGCAATGAAAGGCGTGACCCAGGGTCTCAATCTCCCCATCACAGCTCTAAGCCCGCTGAGCTCTTTTGACAACCCAGAGGGCTCCACGAATCACCAGCCAGGTGAGTGATGCCTCATCATCATTGAGACATTTCAACCCGGGTGCCCAAGGCCATGTTGAGCGAGCCTCCTGCTTCATAAGTCTGAGCTCATCAATCAGTTTATCATGAACAGTCCATCTAACACCTGATATAATGACCTATGAGACAATGCCTGGACGATGCCATCCGACACTCATAAGAGGCATTTCAGAGCAATATGACATTCATGATAGAAGGAGCATTCGGCTCCGGGAAAACGGTGGGCCTCCTCCTCACACGAGTGCATACTTCTCAGGGATGGGAAGTTCTTACAGGCATCTTCCTTCCAGAAGGCGCCCTCCTCATCTGGTTCAAGACACATTCAATCTAGGAAGCTGATGTGAAGCATATATTGACGAATCTCAATGCTTGGCATGCCCAGATCGCCTTCAGATGGATGAAGGCAACTGATCTCCCGAGATATCATAGTGGCCTTGTCTCTCCACAAGAAAGAGAACAAGAGCCTTACTAATGACATTAATGTGGTATACGGAAGTGGAAGTACAGAGAGTCAGTAAAGGAGAATCGGGTAGATGTGTGAAACACATACTTCCGCCCTCCCCTTTAAGGAAAGATTCCTCCGAAACCACAAATTAATTGTGATCTGGGCCTTCCCTTGCACCTCTGACTAATTCATTTCCAACTGGAGATCAGGACTGAACCAGACGCCGAGAATCCTGACCAGACCATCCATCCAGAGGAAAGGTCCAGGAAGAGAAACTCCCTTCCACACACCCAACCACAAGCCGATAGACTTATCGCGGTTGATCTTGGCCCCTGTCACCATCTCATAACCACTGATTTCTTTGCTGACTTCGTCAATCCCAGCTCTGCTTGTCACAAGAACCAAAACGTCATCAGCCTAGGCAGAATACCTGGCCGATGTGGTAGCACCGGGCAGGGAAATTCCACGTAGGACCGGATTCACCTTTAACTTGAGAAGGAAAGGTTCCAACACATGAACGTAAAGCAAAGGCGAAAACGGACAACCTTGACGAATGGAGCGAGACAATACAAAAGGCTCCAATCATACCTTCACTTCACCAGTGCACTGGGAGTTGCATACAGAAGTCGGAAAGGACAGCCTCCAGAAACCGATGGTCAACCCTATCAAAGGCCTTGGACTGATCTAAATTGATCAGCGCGGCTTCACTGTCGACTTGCTTGATGATCAGGTGTACCATATGAAGGTTGTCCTGAATAGTCCTACCCTTCACAGCACAAGTCTGTTCCGAGCCAATCAGACTAGACAGGACAACCTGCAAACTGTTTGCTAAGATCTTAGCCAAAATCTTTAACTCTGTGTTTAACATAGTTAAAAGGCAAAAATTACCTAACCCATCTCCACCATTTTTGTCCTTACGTAATAACCTGATCACGCCCCTGGTGAAGCGTTGAGGTATAGACCCCTGCTTCATCCAGTTGCCGAAAATTGGTGCCAGCAAGAGAACAAAAATGGGCGACTGCTTCAAGTACGGAAGACCATCTAATCCCGGAGATTTATCCAGGCCAACCTGTTTCAGCACTTCCCAGATTTCTGACTCTGTAATGGGACCCTCACACCTATCCACTTCAGCTGCCTCAAGGTAGGGAAAGTCAGCTAAATAGGTGTCAAACTGAGTAGGGCTCAGACCGGGCTCCCTGGTGAAAAGCTCCTGAAAGTACTCATGAAAAGCCTCACTTATGCCCTCGTTTGTAGTCACTGTCTGCTTATCTGGCAATGTGATGCATGCAATATGTCACTGAGATGCATTCCGAGCTTACTCTGCACGCAATTCACTGGCCATATTCGTTGCCTCAGAGGACATTC